CCTCTTTCAAAAATGAAGGCAGCAAAATGTATGTGCTACACTACATTCAAACTACACAAATGCGGCATACATCCATATCATTATGTACTGTTACTATACATGAAGAGTAGTGTCACATTGCAGCAATATTTATCAAAACATTTAAAATATTTTACCTTAATTTTTAATAAAATATCTGTAATTTATTTTTAAAGTGCATTAATAAACAGCACATGTATTGTCCTGTTATTAATATCTTTCTATGCACTTAGTCTGAGACAGTGACTGGTCCAACAAGACTGTCATTGATAAGCCCACCTCGTGATGGACGTATGGGTAAGATTTTGTGTATTATATATCTATAATGCTTAGTTTTAAGCATATGTGAAAAGTGAAATACATACTTGAGTGATCTGTTGAATATGGATGTATTGCTGAATTAAGTCATCAGAGTTGTCAGGAAGGTATTGAGGAGAGATCAGTAATGTATAAGGAGGAAATAGTTAAAAAGCAAGGGTGAAGTAATCTTTTCAGTACTTACTTTTTCTAGACAAAAGCTTCAGAGGGGTAGCTGAGGCTGTGTCTAGACTGCAGGGTTTTTTCGAAAAAAGTAGCCTTTTTTCGAAAAAACTTCACCTGCATCTAGACTACAGCCACGTTCTTTTGAAAATAAATCGAAAGAATGAGGCTTTTCTTTCTATGGTGGTACTCATTTCACGAGGAATAATGCCTTTTTTCAAAAGTGCTCTTTTGAAAAAAGGTGCTATGTAATGCAAACTGTGCTTTTTTTAAAAAGAGAATCCAGACTGCCTGGGTACTCTCTTTTGAAAAAGCAGCTTGCTTTTTCAAAAGTACTGATTGTAGTCTAGATGCTCTTTTTCGAAAGAAGCTTTTTTGAAAGTATCTTTCGAAAAAGCCTCTTTTGAAAGAGGCTTGCAGTCTAGACGTAGCCTGAGTTAGTCTGTAACTGGAAAAACTTAAAAAACAACCAATTGTCTAGTAGCAGCTTAAAGACTAACAAAACATGTAGATGGTATCATAGGCTTTTGTTGTAAAAGCCCATCTGAAGAAGTAGGTTTTGCCCATTAAAGCTCATGATATCATCTACATGTTTTGTTAGTCTTTAAGGTGCTACTAGACTATTTGTTGTTTTTTTACATTTTTTCTAGCCAGTGAGCGGATCTCCTTAATGTTTGCTGAACACCCATTGTTAACTGTTGCAGAATTAGACTAATGTCATGCTCAAAAACAGAAGTGATTTACTTGTAGGCTACGTCTAGACTGGCATGATTTTCTGCAAATGCTTTTAACGGAAAAGTTTTCCGTTAAAAGCATTTGCAGAAAAGAGCGTCTAGATTGGCACAGACGCTTTTCCGCAAAAGCACTTTTTGCGGAAAAGCGTCCGTGCCAATCTAGACACGCTTTTGCAACATCCTGCCTTGGATCCTGGCACACAGGTTCCTGATAAGGGGAAACCAAAAAAGGGAAAAAGTCTCCAAAGAAATGTGCCTCTTCATTACATCACAAGGCACAGTCACCTAAGTGATGCACAACAAAAAAATCGTTACCGAGGGCTGACAAAGCACCTTGCCTCAGCACTTACGATGCTCCAGGAGTTTCCAGTACTGATCGTGATCTCTCCAGGAACAGTTCCCATAGAGCCCACACTGAGGCTACATGCCCTTCTGTGCCTGCCTCTCATGCCTTGGCACTTATTACAGCACCGAGTAACCAGACAACTGAATCCTCAGCACCGAGGATTACTGGGACGGCACTGCAGCCCATCAACATTGTTCCAGCACATAATGGTGCTGCAGCTACCTTGGCACCACAACCTCTATTGGTGCCGACTGCAAGTGCACCACCTCCAGTATCACTGACAGTACCGATGGCTATGGCACTGTACACTCCAGCATCCAGATACTGACCTTATGGTGTTGTGTACTTTTAATTCTTCATTTCTTGGTACGGACATGTCATTCCATCAACAACACCGAAACATCTCTCATCACTTTGGCAAGAAAGTCTACACCTTATCCACATTGCAGTTCAGAGTTGCCAATGATCCAGCAATGATGACCATGAAGGTGATTTATCATTCTCACCCCAGTTATCGCCTGGCACCGAAATGTCCGCACCATTGACTCATCCCAGTTTTAGGTACCCCATTGCCTCCAGCATACCCCCCTGGGGCCCACTCCCATGGATGCCACTGCCCAGGCCTTATGCTGCACAATGACAGTATTGGAGCCCATGGACTTATGACTACAAAAAGAGACATTTAAAAGAGAAACATACACAGCCCACATCCTCTCCTCTGCCACAATACTCATCACCACAGAAGAGGCAGCAGGAAACCACAGATCCACAATCTTGCAAGTTGGGCCCCAAGACATTCCCAGAGACAAACTCATCCTCCTCACCCAATGAGACAGTCATGCCACCTCGAACCACAGCTGATGACTTTACACCTTTCCAGGGTTGCAGTGGAACTAAATATTGTCATGGAGAAAGTGGAGAAGACACAGACCTCACCAATATCCTCCAAGCTACACCATTGTCCAAGATTGCTCTGCCTATGAATCCTATTATGGAGCCTGCCAAAACCGTGTGGCAAATGCCCACAACTATCCCCCTGACCTGTAAGAGAGCAGATAGGAAATATTACATCTCCCCAATGGGATCAGAATTCCTCTTCACCCATCCATCCCCAGACTTTCTTGTGGTGGATGCTGCCCATCAAAGGAACAAGCAGCATCAGCTTCATTCCGCCCCTGCTGACAAAGACAGCAAAAGACTGGATTTGTTTGGCAGGAAAGTCTACACCTTATCCACATTGCAGTTCAGAGTTGCCAATTATGCACCACTCCTCAGTAAATATGATTTTAACATCTACTCAAAATTCAACAATTTTATTGAGGATATACCCGAGGCCATGAAACAACAATTCAGGGTGGTCATTGTGGAAGGACACACAATTTCAAGAACAGCTCTGCAGGCTGCTCTCAATGCTGCAGATACTGCCACCAGATCAATAGTGACTGCAGTCATTATGAGACGGGCCTCTTGGTTTAACTCTTCTGAAATCCAGACAACTGTGGTGGATCTACCATTTGAGGCCAAGAAGCTCTTTTCAACCAAGACTAATTAGATCCTTTATTCCATGAAGGATTCCCAGCTAACACTCTGGTCTCTCAGCACCTATACACCTGCAATCAGGAGGCGGCAGTATCGATACCAACTGTACCCGAGACCAAGGTATTCACCCTAGACCTACCAGCGCCAGAGACAGGAACAACAACTGCAACAACAATGCAGTTGTGGCAGGCAACAGCGTAGTTGCAACCAGAGCTGCACTACCAATCAGCCAAATAACCAAATTTGAGCAATTGGTCGAGAGACTGAAAATGATTCTATCCACTTCAGAAATCCCAATTAACAATAAACCATTTACCCATCACCTTCGGTCCTTCTATGCCAATTGGCAAAATATAATATCTGACAGATGGATACTATAAACATCCTATCAGAATACACCATACCTTTTCTCTCCATTCTTCCTTCCCATCCTCCTATTCCATCCCTTTTTAGGGACCATTCTCACGAGGCCATCCTCCAACTGAGTACATAGAAGCAGTTTTACTCACATTATTTTCTGACACAAAAAAGGGCTGGAGGATGGCATCCAGTTTTGGACATGAGAACCCTCAACAAATTTGTAAAGAGGCAAAAATTCAAGACGGTAATGTTGACTACAATACCATTATCCCTTCTCTGGAGCCAGATGACTAATTTTCATCTCTCAACTTACAGGATGCCTATTTTCATGTTACTATTTCATCCTGCTCATAGACATTTCTCTGTTTTATCTTAGATACACAATACTACCAATATACGGTCCTACCCTTTGGACTTTCCACAGTGCCAACAGTTTTTTCCAAGATGTTGGCAGTGGTTATGGCCCACCTCAGGACATTATTATCTACCCTTATCTTGATGATTGCATCATCAAGGCAAGAACAGAGGACGATTCTCATTGCAGCACCTACCTCGTCTGAGAATGCTACCAATCATTGAGGCTATTAGTGAATGAGACAAAATCACTACTCATACCAACTCAGCCCATACAATTCGTTGGGGCGCAGCTCAAGTCGACCCTGCAATAGCCTCTCTACCGCTAGACAGGTTCTCAAAGATTCACAATTTAGTTCTAAAGTTGCACTTAATGCCATGTGTCCCCGCATATGATGGTCTTCAGCTACTTGGTCACATGGTTTCTTGCAACCCTATCATTCCAAATACCTGTCTCTTCATGAGATGTCTTCAGGGCTGGCTCAGGTCAATCTACAATCCAAATCTGTAAACCAAAACCCTGTCTATTCCTCCCACAGTAAAAAGTACAATACTATGGTGGACAAAACCAAATAATTTGTGCCTAGGCATCCATTTCCAAACTCCAGAACCTATGGTAGTCATCATGACAGATGCCTGCCTTAGGGTATGTCTACATTACAAAGTTAGTTCGAACTAACGGACGTTAGTTCAAACGAACTTTCATAGGCGCTACACTCGCGCTCCGTTAGTTCGAATTGAATTCGAACTAATGGAGCGCTTAGTTTGAACTAGGTAATCCTCATTCCACGAGGATTAAGCCTAGTTCGAACTAGCTAGTTCGAATTAAGGGGTGTGTAGCCCCTTAATTCGAACTAGTGGGAGGCTAGCCCTCCCCAGCTTTCCCTGGTGGCCACTCTGGCCAACACCAGGGAAACTCGTCTGCCCCCCTCCCGGCCCCGGACCCCTTAAAGGGGCACGGGCTGGCTATGGTGCCTGTGCCAGGTGCAAGCCTGCCAGCACCCAGCCAGCAGACCCTGCACCTGGCACGGCTCCAGCCAGCCACCCGCCG